ATAGAGTTTTTAATGAAGCAAAACTTGTTAATCTTTAAATAAATATATGGGAAAATTATTATCCTGTAATCATTGATAATTTCATATAGATTTAAACATAAATTTAAAAAATATGAAGATAGCAAAATACACTTCAAAATACATTAAGTACCTTCCAATTTATTTCTGGAGAACACATAAATACTATTTATAACTAAATGACACATTAGATCTAAAATGAGATACCACAACAAAGCAAACAAAAAAGCCCTAAAAACTCTATTTGTCATAAGTACTAAAGGAGTGAATCATGTTGAGTTTCTTGGCATCAATCTATAATTTTTATTTAATATAAGCATTTTCACATTTTATAATAAACCTTTTGGTAGTCATGAAATAGTATATCAAATAGAGATATGATAGTGAATTTATTTCCCAAACGTCCAGAAGTAATTTTTAGTATTTCCATATTACTGATAATTTTGTATTAACATATTCATTAGTTTTCAGTATCTATTTATCATCCATTGCTACATAAACAGATTATCCCAAAACTTAACTTCCAACAACCAGTAATGTTTAGGGATTGATATCAGAATAAACTCGGTTTTAAAATGGGCAAAAGACTTAGACAATTATCTAAGGAAGATCTACAAATGAACAATAAATGCACAAAAATACGTTTAAAAACCACTAGTCATTGGGGGAATGTAAATCATAACCACAGTGAACGTCAGCAAGATGGCAGAATAGGAAACCCTAGTCCCTCCTTCCTCCCACAAAGATGTCCATTCAAGAATAATACACATGGGCCAGCTGAGACAGCTCAGAGAGTAAAAGAGATCCCATGATGGAAGGAGAGAAGTGACTCCTAAAAGTGGTCTAATGAACTCTCACACATGCCACGGAATGCATAGTATACACACACACACGCACACACACACACACACAAACACACACAAACACACACACAGAGTTCTAGAAAGCCCTTATAACATCAGGCACAGGCAGACAACAGCTTCTCCCAGGGGAAGAGGGGTTGGATTGAAGTATGCACATAATGTTCAGATTTTCAAGGGAGGAATGTTCCCAAGGACTTGGTTTCTTTCATGTGTGTCTTGGTGCACTGGCCGGACCCAGCATACTGTAGCAACCTGAGGGCCACTGAGGAGAAAGAAGAATTGTGAGATGCTGCTCCAGTAAACCTGTATTCAGCAGAGGCCAATACAACTTGGTGGTCTCTCCTTCTGGGCAGTAAGAAAGAAACATGTGTCCAGTGTTCTGGCTTCTCAGAGGACTGGCCAAAAACCTCAATTAATTACTTTTCTTGTCATTGTAACCAAAATATAAGAGAGAGCAACCGAAAGAGATTTATTTTTGACTCATGATTCCATTTATGGTTGCTTGGTCTCATGCAGAACATCATGGCGGTGGGAGAATGAGGATGGGGTGGGGGAAGTTCACTTCACAAAGGACAAAAAGCAAAGGAGGATACAGGAAGTGTAGGGCACAATATACCCCCTGGATCATGTGCCCAGTAACTTACATAGCTCCTCTTTGTACCACCTCCCAATAACAACATCCATATTATTCAAAGCATTAATTCATCGAAGAGGTCACAACCTTTATGAAGTAAGCCTGTCTGGAAATGCTCTCACAGACACATCAAAAGGTTTGCTTTATTCACCCCTTTGTTTCTCAGTCAAATCAAGTTGACAATTTTTTTTTTTTGTCTTTTTTTGAGACAGGACCTCCCTGTAGCCCCAGCTGTCCTGGAATCCACTAAGTAGACCAGGGTGGCCTTGAACTCACAGAAATTTGCCTGCCTCTGCCTCCCAAGTACTGGGATTAAAGGCATGTGCCACCACACCCGGCAAATTAACAATTTGAACCATCAAAAACCATCAAAAGCCATGTTTCTCTGTAGTCCAATACCAGGCACTGACTGGGCATAACATGCTATAGATGACCAAAGACTACTAAGAACCAAACTGTCACACAGTGTGTTACTATTTCAGAGGACACGTGGTGCAGTAGATATACATCAGAAGGACTATATTAGTCAGACTTTCCAGCACTGTGGAAAATACCTGAAAGGAATTTAAGGGAGGAAACATGTTTTGGGGCTCACTGCTGCAGGGGTTCATAGTTTGGAGCCTGCAGAAGGCAGAGCAGCAGGGATATGTGACAGAGGATGATTACCTTACAGCAACCAGGAAAAAAGAGGAAAGGGAGGGAACCGGACACCTACCCAATAACAGGCCTACTTTCTCTGACTAGACTCTCCCCCTACTTTTTATTATTTCTAGTCATTCTATTATGAACCCATCAAGGGCTCAATCCAGTCATTAGATCAGAGCCTTGGGCTCTAATCACTGACCAAAAACTCATGAGCTAGTAACAAGTCCTGAGTACATGAGGCTGTAAGTGACATCTCATATTCAAAACATAACACTCTACCCTGACCCTCAAGGCTCAAGTCCATCTCACAATACAAAACATATTGTTTCATCATTTCTCAAAATTCTGAGTTCAAAGTCTCCTCTGAGATTCAAAACAAACTCATAACTGTGATCCTCTGTAATATATATATACATATATATATATATATACATACTTCCAACACATAAGAAAAACAGCCATCAAAA